TCTCTCTTTCTCTCTCTCTCTCTCTCTCTCTCTCTGTTTGTCGCACTTTTCGGTTGCAACACAGACTCCACTCGACCAGAGTGTCCGCCATTTAACCCATTGTTCTCTACATGTGCTAACCGGTCATATCTAAATCAGCAATTCATTCATCCATTTTATTCAATTGTATTAATTGTATTTTTACCAGTTTTTACCATTTATTTTGTGCTAAATAAAGTAATTTTAAATTGCAATCAAAAGCTAAGACAAAATCTGTGCTTTAGTAAAAGCTACGAAATTGTGTCCGCTTTCAAAAGCTAAGACAAATTCCCCGCTTTCAGTAAAAACTGTGAAATCATATCCGCTTTCATACCAGAGCTCATCACACGTCGCACACCCCGGAATTCGACTGCCGCTTATGTGAACGACATCTCTCACCAAAAAGTCTAATAAGAATTGAAACGTCGACCAGAAGTTTGGGAAATATATAATAATAATAATGTTTATTTAGTCATCTTTCAGACAATGTAATACAGAACATGTTGTATACATATTTAATTAGTACATAGTACATAGTTCAGTTTTTAACCACAATTTGGTATGAATAATGTGGTTTATAGGATCGTTATGCCCCCTACTTATCCACACCTTTTTATTGATATATAATATAATATTGCGACGTCCGGTCGAGCCTAAGCCCTCATAATCGCACGCACACTCCTTGACTCGCACTCCTTCTGCCCGACGGGGCCTTCGGTCTTGATATATGCGTCGTCCCGTCAGTTGGCGATCGTCTCGTTATGCTCACTGCGATGTTGCGTCGGCTCCCGGCATCTGGCTAACTGGTCTCGTTGTCGTCCCAATGCGTGGCTTTACGTCTCGAGCGGTAGACGGCCAGGTGTTGTTGGCGGCGATACGGTAGCGGTCGACACGAGCACTGCCAATTAGTCGGATGGCGTCTTTCTACTGTTGTCTTTGTCCAGTAGATTCTAAACAATGTCCGGTCCGTTGGAGTGACTGTTGGACACCTGTTGAAAGCTGTTGTGATCAAACAGTCACTCCAATGAACAAGCCAAGCAGCTGGTCTAGTAGATGGCCACCAATCTCTCTTAGGAACGGCCGACAGTCAATCCACTAGATGGGCCAACTGTGTATAGTCCGTATAGTCACGGTACTTTAGTCCTCAACAGTGAACGGCCAGCAGTCTCTCGATACACGACCTACAGTCCTCAACAGTGAACGGCCAGCAGTTTCGCGATACACGACCAACAGTCCTCAACAGTGAACGGCCAGCAGTCTCCCCAATAGATTGGGCCAACAGTCTCCACGCCCACTCCACGTCCGTCTCGCGATGTTTGGTTATTGAGCCGCAATTGGCGGGTATGTATCCGAAGACACAGAGGGTACGGGAGTGTCAACAGACGTGAGTCTGTTGCCCAGGAAGTGACCAACAGTAAGCCTTAATTAGCGGGTATGGTTGTGTGTGTGCTTGTGAGGCACGGGAGGAAAGGAGGGAAGGGAATAGAATTGGGAGAGAAAGAGCGGGCAACTAGTGGCCCGAACAAATAATACACTTACGAGCTTTGGGACTGTGAAGTCTTTTATTTAATGCTTAAACATAAAACAAAGAATACAAAATGGCGACAATAGTCGACCCAAGTGATGACACGTTCGTTCACAACAAGAGTTAAACCTAAAGTCCCCAAAGTCTCTAACGTTAACTAAACCAGGCCAGAGGGCTGGNACTAGTGGCCCGAACAAATAATACACTTACGAGCTTTGGGACTGTGAAGTCTTTTATTTAATGCTTAAACATAAAACAAAGAATACAAAATGGCGACAATAGTCGACCCAAGTGATGACACGTTCGTTCACAACAAGAGTTAAACCTAAAGTCCCCAAAGTCTCTAACGTTAACTAAACCAGGCCAGAGGGCTGGTTTTATAGGCAAATTCATGGACAACTAGCACGTAGACAATCACTAACAATTGGTTGGTTAACAAATGCGTCAATGCTTACAATAACGTTTATTGGTCGGGAATATAATTCTTCTTATTATTATTATAACAGGTATTTTAATGGGATTTCTAATACAGGGAATGCTATGAGTTTATGTCATGTATGCAGGGTGTCTAATGACATTCAGAGAGACTCAAGGTGTATGCAATTAAGGTCAAAACCTGAACCTATAATGTCTGTACGAGATCTGAATCTATAATCTCTAAGTATACTACACATACTGTACAGAATAGCCTTCACACACAGCAATAGTATGTGTCCTACAGGCCTTTGTCTTTGAGTCTATTGTGTGTTTCTATAGTCCAATACATGTAGTAAGTGGACAAGGCATAACTACATTATGACAGGTCCACCACAACATGTGTTAACAATAATAACATTAAGTAACTCTTACACACGGAGATGGTATGTGTGTCTTACAGGCCTTTGCCGTTGAGTCAACTATTTGTTACTGAAGTTCAATACATGTAGTGAGTGGACAAGGCATAACTTGATTACACCATGTCCACCACAACATGTATTAATAATTATAACATTACATAACTCTCTTGACGTTACAATATACTTATTTATAAAATAAAAGATTTGATTCTTAAAATTTTACCGATAAAAGTGGTTATTACGGCCAGACTCGAAAGCATCTGGACATATGAAATATATCACTCGACTACTTATTGAATGTCCTTTCATTTTATAACAACAATTCCCAAGTGCATTTTATCACACGAATGGTCATAGTCCTTTTCGGCATTTCACCCATTAACATTGAACTTTATCCTTTTATTTTGTTTACATTTTGTTACTAGTATTAACTGTATCCAACTGTATAAAAAACACTTTTTTTACATTTTAAAGTTTTAATTATAAAACGGCATGTGTACTGAGGTTATAGTGTATGTCATTGCATTCCCCAATAAACGGTGTGTTGAGGGAAAAACTGCAGATCAACCCGTGCAGTCTACCAACAATCCTGCGGTACAATTATATTCTTGTTTATACATATTTGGTGTCATGTTGTGTGGTGTAAGCATTTGTGCGGGGCATCCAAGTTGTGTGAGCGTTGGCATGTGTTGTATATTTTAGTGTAGTGTTTGCGAGGGTTGGGCACTCGTCTCCGGTGTATTACCCCCCGTATAGGTCGGATCACATCGGGGATTGAACCACCGATCTCTCAGTCCGTAATTCGATCTGTGCAATGCTTAGCTCTATTTCAAAGTTCAACCATGAAATAAACCAACTGAACCAAGCAGCCGAGCATAAATGTGTCCACTCGTGCTTAGGATTCATTACAATTTAATTACAATTTAATTATTTCAATATGTCATACTTTAAATTCATTGTTAAATAATAAATTATTTAAATATTTTTTTCACTACTATTTGTCGATTCTTATCACGAATTTATATAATTTAAATTAAACTTTGTATTAAATTCTGTTTATAAGTCTTAAATAAATATTGAGATAAAAGTATAAATTATTTATTAAATAATAAAATGGATAAAAATTTATGGTATTCTTGGAGAGGAATATCGATTGTAATTCACATAATAGCTGTCCTGTGCTATGGGTTTGCGGTGTTATTTCAAGGGCTGTACCCCCGGGGCTATCACTGGGAGGCCAACGACCAGTTGTTGATCCGATTGAACAGAACTAATGGTATTCCTCCCGGAGAATATACACTGGGCTGGAAATTCAAGTATTTAACCTTCTGGAATCTCGTACGAAACCATTTGTTATTTTTAAACCAAACTTTAGCTGTAAATTATGTTTAAATTTCTGTGCCATTAGTTAATCAATGCGTTTGTATTCGCGTTGTGTCTGACATCCGATTGTTTGAAATCCAATTATTTGCCGCAAAACCCATTGGAAGACAATTGGAGTAAAAGTTTGTTCCAAATGCGCGACACTCTCTTCCATGCGTTGGCCTTTCCATTGGGAACCGTATGTCTTATGCCTAGCATTGTCTGCACTCTTAGAGTCTATTGTAAATTAACATAACTTTTCATTTTGTATTTGCAGTTTGTTTTTCTCATGTTTTTCCTATTGTTGACAATAAGGAAGGGTTTAGTGGCCGATGAAATCACTCACAAACGAAATCCATGGTTTTTGGGACACTTAACCGTAAAACACAAACTCTTTTTTGTTTCATTAAAAGTTTTATTTTTTCATTTGATTGTTATATTCAAAGCACACAATAGTATTGCCGTTACTTTTGAGCGAAGCGTTGATAACGTATCACAAAAAGTGGTCAACACTTGTGATGGATATAACAATCCTGTTGTCTGTGGTCTTGTGGTACACACTATGGATGCTATACTTGGGTGCCGTCCACGACCTCTGGCCCTATCGTGTGCTGCGAGTGATGGGTTGGCCCTTAAGACTCGCATTAACTCTGATATCCATTTTAATAGTGATTTTTAATTATTTTTTGGGCGCTTTTATTCATAAGATTTCGTGGCCTAAGACTCGGGTTAAGAGTTGGCACACAATTGATAGCAATAATAATAATAATAATTTTTAATTGAATTATATTTTGTTTATACGAAAACAAACTCATTTTATTTGAAAAAAGTGATTTATTCACACAAAAAATGAATTTCAATTACAAATAAATTCATTGATTAAATAGTTTTTAAAAAGTTATATTAAGTTTGCATTGATTTTAAATGAGATTTGCTTAAGACTTTGAGAGAGTTTTCGCGCGAAACACATATCAAATCTGTGGACAGAAAGCACTGGTATTTGCTTTTAATTTGATTAATTGTTCAGCGATTTAATGATTTGTTTGCCAATAAAGGACTGGAACTGATTCGCAACCTCTGCTGCGATGACTACAAGACGGTCGAAATGGAGCTCAAGAATCAATACTATTGTCTGTCATCGGCGGCGGCTTTACTCAAATACACAAAAGGGGCGCTGAATATGCGGCTCGAGAAGTGTCACGCCATCAAAAAAGGTCTCAACCATCTGCTGGACATCGCCCGACAGACGTACTCCGAAAATGTCGATGACATCAGTTATATCGTCGATCAGTATTCCTCCGAGTATTCGCTGCCACTGCGAGTCATCTATACGTCCGGTCGAGGCTTTCATATGCAGATCGTCGGCAAAGATGTCCACAAAATGGAGTTTTCATATCCGAGACATTTCTTGCGAATCAATGCCAGCAAAACGGCCATCGCTTTCACCACTCGAGAGATTGTCGAGAAGAATAATCGGATCAAATCAGCCGTCGAAGAGATCTACTTAATGAGTGACGCGTTCGTCACTTACAGTAACAGCTCTTTCAGTGAATTATTTTAATTATTTGTTTAATTTTATAGAATTATCAGTGAATTGATTGCTAGACTTCGCGCAAACATCGGATGTCTGTATAATGTGTCCGAAGTTTTGTCAAAAATAGATTTGGTGTTTGCGTTGGCCTTTCAGTGTTCGGTCGCTAACTATGTTCGGCCGGTCTTTAGCGGCGATTTGGCCGTAAAACAGGGCAGACATCCCATTCTGGAGAAGATTCTCAGCACTAAACCCGTTGCCAATGATATTGTATGCGTTTATTAAGTTTTTCCACAATTAATATCCAAACTGTTAATCGTTGTGTTGTTTAGCTTATGTGTGAAGACAACAACTTTATGGTAATCACGGGACCAAATATGAGCGGAAAGTCAACATTTCTTAAACAAGTGGCTATACATCAAGTGATGGCACAAATCGGTTCATACATTCCGGCGGAGTTCGCGTCCTTCAGAATCTGCGACAAACTCTTCTCACGGATCGGCAATAATGACGAGATTGAGACCAATTCCTCCACTTTTATGGTTGAGATGCGAGACGTGAGTCATATTCTGCACAATTGTACTCAAAACTCGTTGATAATCATCGATGAGTTGGGCAGAGGAACCAGTGTTGAAGAGGGCGTCGGCTTCTGTTTCGCCATTTGTGAACAATTGCTTCAAACAAAAGCGTTGACACTCTTTGCCACACATTTCACGGAAATGACTAAACTCGAGGACTTCTACTACAATGTCTCGAAGTATTTTCAGATGACATCAAATCGATATTCAATTTAACACAACTCTTCATTTGTATTTAGCTTTCATTTCGGTGTCAATCACTCCGTTATCGATGAGATTAATACAAATTCCTATACGTTTACACATTTTTTGAAAAAGAGTAAGTTTGCGATTATTATTGTTATTATTGTCCACTGGTTTCCATCGGTTATTGCCTTTCATTTGCTTTTTATTCCTATTATTTCACGAGTTTTAATGAATTAATTGTTGAATTGCTATATAAAAGTGAATGACTTTTTAAATTAAGTAATCATTTCATTCAATCGTTTAATCACTAAAAATGGGTCAAAATATCTCAAAACATGATATTTTACACGCAATTGGTTTTTGTATTCAAAGGCGCACTTCTGGACTACATTTGATCCGTCTCTCAAACCCTACATTCAATACACCGACTGATCATTTAGTTATGGTTGGAATCGCACTGTTGTCATCCCTCCGCCACCGCCGGAACCGGAGTCCGATTCCTATACCGACGACGACGACATCGACTAGATTTTGATTTAACTTAAAAATTGATTTTATCTTATTTTATGAATGAATAAAAAAACTTTAATTTAAATTAAAATTTTGAATTTATTTATAAATCTTAACAATTTTATAACCAAATGAGGGATACTTTAAATATCTGTCATAACATTCATGCCATAGATTTGGTGGATATGATTGCAGACATGGATTGTCAGCGAAGGTATGATTTGGCAAAACGTATACTCAATGAAGGCTACGATGCAGTCATGGATCAGATGAATGGCAATACTGGCGGACAAACGGCTGACGAGGAATCAGATGAAGAGACAGTGATTGACGACACGGTCTATGAATCGGAAGACAATTCAGACTCAGAGGATGTGTTCGCCAATCCAGAGATGAGTCTGTCTTCGCGTAAATCATACGAAACAGCTTTGGATTCAATGGACACTCAATCTGAAGAGTCGGACACAAGTGGTGGCAGTGAAGGGCCGACAGATCTCGAGGACAACACATCCGACATATCAATTGAGTCTCAAAGAAGTGACGTCTCGGGAGTGAGCGATGGTCTGAGCGGTCATATGCTCTCTCTGTCGACCATCACATCCAATGATTTCCAAAGAAGTGCCATTCAATCACAATCTGACAGCAGTTTTTCAGTCATTTCTGACACTCAATAGTGTCTTAAAACTGTGTCTTATTTTCATTTTATGTCTTATTTTTAATGGAATTGTATTTTGTTTTTAATTAAATTTTTATTTATTTTATGTATTTATTCATAAATTTTATTGTTTGTGTATAAATGGTGTGAAGAATGTGAATACAAGACCTAATCTCTGGTCTATTAAGACATCGAAGAATTGTTTTCCAAATTTGTAATCATTTCTAGAAATTTTTGTAAAATAAAAACCGTTTGAAAATTATTTAAATTTTTGAATTGATTACTAAATCTCAACGAATTTATAATCAAACGGATTATATTTAAAAATTAATATCATTATAACAATAGTGTTATAAATTAATAGTTTATTTAGCATTTAATTAATTTTACATTGAAAAAGATATTCAACCAAATTTCAATTACAAATAAATTAATTGATTAAATAGTTTTAAAAAAGTTATATTAAGTTTGCATTGATTTTAAATGATTTATAGTTATTTATTTTCTGATTTGATAAAAAATTAATATTTTTAAACTTCAATTATAAAACAAACAAAAAACTAATGAAAAATTAAAACATAAATTGGGATGCATTTCAAAAATCAAATTATATTAAGTTTTAAGTATTATAATACTAAACCCGAAATATTAAATATCAATTAAAAAACGTAATTAAATCAAAATATTTAAGAAATATTATATTATATTAAGAAACAAACTAATAATTCATTAGACATGCAATCAAATCAATTATTAAGTCATTAATGAGACGACATATCAATTCAAAATTAATAAATCAAATGAAAAGCAAACAAAAATCAAAACTAAAGACTAAACTAAAGACATGCGAAACTGAGAATTGTGTCCAATGATAGGCCAACAAATTCAGTCATAATAGCGAGTCTTCGTGTCTTCGGCGGCGTTTGATTGTGAGGTCTGAATGGTATACATATCAGACATGAGGACAGACCGGGCGGTCATCTTATCGAGTTTGAGATGAATACCGGCCCTATTCTTAGGACAATAGCGAACGGTGTGAGCGTAAGGGCCGCCGCCGTTGTGACAAATGGGACAGTCATAGGCTCTGAGGACTGGACACACGATCCGACACTCGGGGTCCTTCAGAATGTGACTCTTGTAGACGTCGGGCGTCTCGTTGTTGTTCTTACAGAAGACACACTCGGTTTGGGTCGGCTGTCGGCGTCGGATCCGGGGCTGAACGTAAGGAGTGGGCGATTGCGCCGTCGGCTCGTTGTCCGTCGAGTCGGTCTGAGACGAGCGACTGGTGGCCAGCGGTTGAATCGGCCATTTGGGCGGCAATCGCGGCGGACATCTCCTATACTGTCGGCGTTGGACTCGTTCTATACCGACCCAAGTGTTTCTGTTGTCCCATTGGTTGGCCATTGGGGTCGCGGCGACGGCAATAGTATTGTTGTTGTTGTCGGCAACCAATCCGTGGCCAGAGTTTGTTGGTTCGGTCGGAGGAGTGATGTTATTCCAGAAGTTTGTGGTCCATTGTATGGCCGATACCATAGGCTTTGGCGGCGACGGCGATGGCAACAGAGCCGGCCGTCCAATGGGTTTCATATCATAGCCGGGAAATGGTTGCGGACGGCGACCGACCGACTCCTCAAGTGTTGGCCATTCGGACCAAACATTGCGCGAAATGTACGGCCGGTTAAAGAAATGGCTGTTTTGGACACTCAACGAGTTCTGAGACCAACGACTCGGACCTATCGGACCAAATGGCGTCCAATTCTTCATATCTGTCGGCAAATATCGTTGGCATAAATCTCACAAACTTTATAACAGTTATAACAAGTGATGCAATGTTTTAGTAAAGTATAGGAATGAATGCAAAATATGACTACAATTTTAGTAAGAAATTCATTGAGAAATTGAAAACTTATGATAAGAATTGAGAATAAAGTAAAGATTAAGTGAAGAAAAGTGAGAAAATAAAGCAAATAATGAATACAAACATGAATTGAATCCAACGTATGAGTGATTGAGTGACGGATTTGTGGGAAACACGGCTTTGGTGTCGACTCTCAACATATTAGACATTGTATTGCATTAATCGCTAAACTTATTAATCAAATCAATTGATAATTTCTTAATTAAATAAACGGATTAAACAAGTGTTGGGTTTTTCTCCAAACGTGAAAACGTATTCAGAGGTAGACTCGCATGAAATGAATGAATAGATTGTTAACTGTGTATAAAAGTTATAGATTCCCATCCCTGGCCTCCCTTTCCATTACAACATCATAGCATACGATATGGTTGTTCACTATATTGGGGGTACATTAAGTTCATCGATGAGTTATATAGCTTATGATTGGATACTATGAGTTAATGGTTAGCCAACCACTTATAACCATGGTCATTTTAGTCATACGTTTTGACATTTGCTATGAATTTGTGTAAAGTGTAAAATAGAGACACGATTTCATCATTCAGTTTAGCAAATATATGCAAAATATCCTTAATTTTATTACAATTCATGTCGTTTTTAAATGTAAATCAAATGTGTGTATCCATGTGTTTAGGTTAACAACTCTCGAGTCAATAGTATGTTAATAAACATAATTTATAATTTTGCTATATTTTGTAGATTTCTACATTTTTAATTTACTTTTGTTAAGAAATATTAATAGAAATTAATGCTAAAATGATAAGCATTTAGTTATTAAAGAAAACAATGATATTTATTTCAGAAAAATTATTTTAATTATTACATTCAGCTTTAAATTGTAATTATGATTGTAAAACTAAATTAATTAATAATACAAAAAATTTCAACTATTATACAATAATGTGTTGAATACATTGTATTTTATGGTATCACTATTACAATAAATTAATCAATCAATGAATTAAATAAAAATAAACATTTTGCAAAATTATTAATTATTATACATTTACCAAAAAAATGATGAAACAATAAAATATATTTTTGAAGCAAACATTAATGTCAATCCAAATCACTGAAGCCATGTTTGTCTCTAAACTTAGCCATTCGTGATCTCGTATTCAATGGATTGGTCTTAAAGAGTGATTCACCAAAAAGTGGAAAACTTTTGGCGAAAGTATCGAAATTGAAAACACCATCACTTTGAAGGGATAGCGAATGTTTGGTTATATCTA